CCTTTGAGCACCAGAACAGCTTTACCACACCGTCCTTACCTATGAGCACCAGAACACCTTTACCACACACTTCTCACCTATGAGCACCAGAACATCTTTACCACACACTTCTCACCTTGAACACCAGAACATCTTTACCACACCGTCCTCACCTATGAGCACCAGAACATCTTTACCACACACTTCTCACCTATGAGCACCAGAACATCTTTACCACACACTTCTCACCTAGGAGCACCAGAACACCTTTACCACACACTTCTCACCTAGGAGCACCAGAACACCTTTACCACACACTTCTCACCTAGGAGCACCAGAACACCTTTACCACACACTTCTCACCTAGGAGCACCAGAACACCTTTACCACACACTTCTCACCTAGGAGCACCAGAACACCTTTACCACACACTTCTCACCTAGGAGCACCAGAACACCTTTACCACACACTTCTCACCTAGGAGCACCAGAACACCTTTACCACACACTTCTCACCTAGGAGCACCAGAACACCTTTACCACACACTTCTCACCTAGGAGCACCAGAACACCTTTACCACACACTTCTCACCTAGGAGCACCAGAACACCTTTACCACACACTTCTCACCTAGGAGCACCAGAACACCTTTACCACACACTTCTCACCTAGGAGCACCAGAACACCTTTACCACACACTTCTCACCTAGGAGCACCAGAACACCTTTACCACACACTTCTCACCTAGGAGCACCAGAACACCTTTACCACACACTTCTCACCTAGGAGCACCAGAACACCTTTACCACACACTTCTCACCTAGGAGCACCAGAACACCTTTACCACACACTTCTCACCTAGGAGCACCAGAACACCTTTACCACACACTTCTCACCTAGGAGCACCAGAACACCTTTACCACACACTTCTCACCTAGGAGCACCAGAACACCTTTACCACACACTTCTCACCTAGGAGCACCAGAACACCTTTACCACACACTTCTCACCTAGGAGCACCAGAACACCTTTACCACACACTTCTCACCTAGGAGCACCAGAACACCTTTACCACACACTTCTCACCTAGGAGCACCAGAACACCTTTACCACACACTTCTCACCTAGGAGCACCAGAACACCTTTACCACACACTTCTCACCTATGAGCACCAGAACATCTTTACCACACACTTCTCACCTAGGAGCACCAGAACACCTTTACCACACCCTTCTCCCCTTGAACACCAGAACATCTTTACCACACACTTCTCACCTTGAACACCAGAACATCTTTACCACACACTTCTCACTTATGAACACCAGAACATCTTTACCACACACTTCTCACCTATGAGCACCAGAACATCTTTACCACACACTTCTCACCTTGAACACCAGAACATCTTTACCACACCGTCCTCACCTATGAGCACCAGAACACCTTTACCACACACTTCTCACCTATGAGCACCAGAACACCTTTACCAAACCCTCCTCACCTATGAGCATCAGAGCACCTTTACCGCACTGTCCTCACCTATGAGCACTGCCTTGTATTTTCTTGCCTTCTGGTACTACAAATCTTAGTTTACAGTTTTTGCTTCAGTCCTTGAAACATTTTTCTGATGAGCCTCTGTCTCCCTTTACTGGATAATCATATTTAGAAACCAAGATCTCTGTGCTATTGCTACTGGGATATCTGTGCCTTTAAGCTCTTTTAGTAGGCTGAGTTAGAAAGTACCTGTAGGTATACTGGCATAACATATATATGTGTTAGAATTGTATTTAGGTGTCACTATTTGCTCATAAATTTTATTACATACTCATACAGGTGTGTATGTATACATACTTATATATGCATATATATATGAGTATGGATGAGTATGTGATAAAATCCATGAGCAAATACTGGTACCTAAATTCTGATTAAACATTATAGTCATTGATTAAGGAAATTCTCACAATAATTTTTTACAAATGACATTGCAAATAATCTCTTTGTCTTGGAAACAATCTCATCTTAATGTCCTCTTCATTCCTAACATTCTAGTTTCTTTGACAAGAAACTCTTTAATACCTTATCCTAGGTTTTTAAATCAGCTTTATTTCTAAGAGATATTATAGAGGGTGGATTTATGAAAATAAGTCATGGTTTAGTGACCTCACAGGGCTTTCTGCATCTCCTGATGGACACTCATGGAGGCTCTCCTGCAAATTATAGCCTCTCTGCAGTGGCCCAGGTGTCAGAGACTGAGGTGTTTCCATGTGTGTATTATAAGGCCTCCTGAGATGCAAAGCATGGCATACTGCAAAGGGTATTTAAAAAAAAAAAAACGTGTTTAGAATGTTCTACCTTCTCAGAACTTAGACTATGAAGAAATCTGAGCCTCATAACAATCCATTTACTAGTGATTTTCAAATCTTTAAACTGCAAAATATGTCAGTGGACAGGGTAAAGTGCCATCCATAGACAGCAGCGACTAGGTGTGCAACATTAGTTGTGAGGGAGGCACAAAACTACCCCAAGGACATCCTGTAACCCATGATTCAGCTGATTTTTACCTAGAACATATCCATGTCTCAGAACTCTGTTTTTCTGTTTGGGCAAAAGAGCAAGAAGCATTATGATTGTGTCTCCAAAGCCATGTATTAGTGGTCATTTGTAAGATTGTCTGCCTCAGCAAGGTGGACCATCCTCTGGGCCATAATGTAAACCTCAATAAAGTTAAAAGGATAGATATCCTATAAAGTATATTATTTGATCACAAAGGAACAAAACTAGAAAACAGTAACAAATATCTAGAAAAATCTCCAGATATCTGGACGTTAATATACTTTTTTGCTCTGCTCCCAATCTTGACGGATTCCCTTACTGAAAGCAACTATAAAATCATGAACATAAGAGCATACATGCGAAGGCACTGCAGAGATTGGAGAAGCAGATGAGTTTGATGACAAATGCACACTTAGAAGGAGAGGAGTAGGGGAACTATATAAAATTAGTCTTGAAACCTCACTAGGTGCAAAAGGTGGGGAATTCCTGAGATTTGCAGAGTAGAGGAGGTAGATTGGCCAGAGTAATAGTACACAGTAATTGCATCTTCGACAGACAGTGCATACTTGTTGGGTGCCTGGCACTATGCTTGGTAGGTGATGGTTTGAAAGGGAAAGGAAGCTCTTAATAGAGGTTTTAAGATTTATAAAAATCTTATAACCCATTTTATAGCCCAGTTGTGAACTCAATGGGGTGATGACTGAGGACAGCAGTCAAGAGAGTGGGTGAGAACTTACTAGTAATGAAATGCAAAAAGAAAGGGGAAAGTTTGAGACCTGGAATTCAGAAAGGGGCTGGTGAGGATGGTGTAAATTCTGGACCCCAGATGATGGTACTATTGGAGTGTTGGTTTCTCATAGAAAGTGCTTGGAAGTGACTGGGCCAGAGCTATTATTTAGTCAGCAAGTAAAATGAAAGAACTTTTGAGGAATCCCACCATATTAGAGAATAGAGTTCATCACTCACGAACTCTTTACAACTTACAAATACATTTTATAGTGTGTTACTCATTTGGAATCACCATGCTTTGTAAACTCATGCCATTTTAGCTTATAATTATTTATTCTACACCTACGTCACATGGTTCTATTCCCATGTCTGTCCTAACTTATAAAACCCCATGCTTTGCTTTAAGTATGGTAGTTGAATGAACACTTGCAGTGTGAATGTTGAAGATTTGAACAATTTGTTAGTTCATATTATTAAAAATCAGCTGTGAAGCCCAAAGCTACCTCTTAGTTATGAATCTGGTTCTTTTTCAGAAATGCAGAATTTTGCCAGAAGTCTGATTAAAAACCAGTCTTTTGAACTGTCACCAAAATAAAATCCTTGACAGATACAACACGACTCAGTATATCATTAGAACGCATTCTTAACAGAATAAGTGCCTAGAACAGAAGAACATTAGTTGAAATCAGAAGCGTTGTGGAGGAAGTAAATCTGAAGCTAGTCATATTTTGAATTTGCCATTAGTGTTTCTTTTTCAAAGCCTAGAAGATGGAGTGAAATTGCGCTGATTGTGCAAGTTAGCAATGTAGTTTTATGTACGAATCTGGAGTCGTAGAATTGAAAAGAAGCTTATGTATCTACTTTAGCCATGAAAGTACTATTATCATCTTACAAAGATTTATGAGTACCATGGCCGAAGATTTGTTAAAACTAAACTTTTTTGTTCCTCCCTATTTCTCTACTAGGGAAAAATTCTTTCTCTTCTTTGTAAGGGTCTATCTTTCATAGGTCTTAATAGCTGTATTTGAACTTATTTTTATTGTGTAGTCAGAGATGCTAAGCAATTATAATGGGATCCATGCCCTTTGCCACATAACATAGAGCAGTTTCATTTATAGCAATGTGCTATGAACAACCAGGGTTTTGTCTGTGCCTCAAAGATTTTATAATAGGCATTCTTTAGAATCATTTACATTCCTCCTGGTCAGGGAATCCAGGCCCAAGGCAGGGCTGGCTCTTGGCTAATTGCTGTAAAGTTGCCTCGTAGTTTGATTGGACATGATTTTCTATGTAAATCAAGTTGTAAAATTGACTTTTTTTTTGTGACTTGGTCACAATTGAAATGGGTCCATGAAAAATCTTTATTTCTATTTGTATCTTGTGTCCATGGGAAATCCTAGAGATGATTGGAGCATCTTAATTGCTGAATTGATGGAGGGGTAAGAGATCAAGCTTTTGGTGTTGAGGTTCTCTGCATCTTGAAGGTATGAGATAGTCCTTTGGGGTTCTAATTCTCTTTCCACTACAGTAGTTAAGTCATCTGATGTTGTCCTTCCTAACCCTTCCAAAGTACCCAGAGAGTAAATACCCAGGATGTCAGAACTATCAGCAAGGGCATCTCAGACACTTGCCATAAAAGCCTTCTCTGTCCTTTCCCCTTTGCCTGTCAACACACGGCCTCCTGCTGATCTTTGCCTCTGATGGTTATTTCTCTCCCTCCGGTCTTCCTTTCTGCAGACATGCCTTGAGTTGGAACGCTACCTCCAGACAGAACCCCGGAGGATCTCGGAGACCTTTGGTGAAGACTTGGACTGTTTCCTCCATGCCTCTCCTCCCCCGTGCATCGAGGAAAGCTTCCGGCGCTTAGACCCTCTGCTGCTCCCAGTGGAAGCCACCATCTGTGAGAAGAGCTCTGCAGTGGACATTTTGCTCTCTCGGGACAAGTTGCTATCTGAGACCTGCCTCAGTCTCCAGCCAACCAGCTCTTCTCTAGATAGCTACACAGCCGTCAACCAGGCCCAGCTCAACGCAGTGACCTCATTAACGCCCCCCTCATCCCCTGAGCTCAGCCGCCATCTGGTCAAAACCTCACAGACTCTTTCAGCCGTGGATGGCACGGTGACGTTGAAACTGGTGGCCAAGAAGGCTGCCCTCAGCTCAGTGAAGGTGGGAGGGGTGGCAGCAGCAGCAGCAGCCGTGACGCCAGCTGGGGCAGTTAAGAGTGGACAGAGCGACAGTGAACAAGGAGGGGTTGTGGCTGACACGTGCCCCGAAAACAAGAAGAGGGTCCACCGCTGTCAGTTTAACGGGTGCCGGAAAGTTTATACAAAAAGCTCCCACTTAAAGGCCCACCAGAGGACTCACACAGGTAGTGGTACAAGTTGGCCGGATGTCGTTTCTTCCTCATTTCCCTGTGTTCACCTTGTGGTGGGATGGGCTTCTCTTTGTTTTAAGAAGTGGCCTTCATGTTCACTAGGAGTGCTGGGTAGGAAAGTAGCATGACTCACAGCTGACTGTAGGATCTCAGGATGCCCCCAGTACAGAGAGCATGGGTCTTCAGTGCCTGGCTGAGAGCTGGTTTCAGATGCAGGGCCAACCCCAGCAGAGACTCAGGCTGACAGAAGGGGGCTTTGCTAGTGTGACTCACGAGGGATGACACACTGCCTCTGCTGCACTTGTCATTGTTTTAGGAGTATAGCTCAGTAGGTTTGATCAACATTGGAAGTTGAAGAGGTACATTGAAAGCAGTCACAGTTAAACAAGGTAGCCAGGCCGTCCCTATTCACTCTTTTCCCAGCATCCCTGGTTTTTCATCAAAGTCACCAACAGCAGGAGGGTTTCAGAGTTCATTAGATGTGATCATTCTATAATTAATTGGCATCTCCTCTTTTGCATTGTTCTCTGGCGCGTGCTTTATGGAGAGATGGCAGAATTGCTTTTTAATGAGCTTGTTACTGAGGAGTTGCTAAAGTGATTACAGGGCTATGTGTGTGGTAAGGGTAGGTGGGGGAGGGATGGGGACTGTATATTTTAGTTAGGATGTCTGTGGTGATTCCAAGGAATCATATTGATCTTTTGAGCGGTGGCATCATTTGGAAGACAGGGGTTTACACAGAAAAGAGGGAGAGTGGTGTTTTCCCTAAGACTCCCTTTGCTCTCTGCTTTGAGGTTGGAGCTTGGGGGTGATGTCTCTTCTTGGTCTGCTAAAGAGCCACTAGGAGCAGTTACTGTGATTGGTGGGCTTTCAGTGGGTTGCTAACAGTGTACTACTTGTACAGCTTTTGTGTATTGCTTAGGGAGAATCCCCAAAGGTATGAGTGAGTAGGAGTGTTCTCAGAGTGAAGTGGGTGACGAACTGTGAGGCACAAGTCCCCAGGGCTCTGTGGGTGGTTGTATGCTGTCACCAAAGAAGTGTGCACTGGCTGGAAAGTCAGACAACCTGGGTTCCAGTTCTATCTGTGCCACTAACTACCTCTGTGAGCGTGTGTCCCTTTATTTCCTTGAGCTCTCTTTTTTATATTAGCTAAAAATCTGGTTCATAAGACCTCTTCAGCTCTGATATTCTGGTGGCCCATGTGATGTTTTTGTGTGGTACTAAAGAATTTCTTGAAGAACTAGGAGAAACCACTGTTTCGAAGCTCAGTGGTGTTCTCATGGAATGATGAAGTCTGGTACTGTTTAATGACCGAGGCATGCACTCCTGGGGCTGAACTGAGCCTTATGTGGCTCTTGCTGGGTTTATGGGATTGTCTCCTTAACATAATTTTGGAAACCTGTGACTTAGCTGTAGAGCTTTATTCCTGGTTTCCCATCAGAATTTGAGTTTAAGTTCTCTACCTCCAGACACCAAAGCTTTTGTCAGTCTTTTCCCTCTCTGGTACTGTTCTGAAAGTAATTTTTGTTTTATTCCCTTCTTAAAAGTCAGTGAGTGGGACTGGGGAGATGGCTCAGCAGTCAAGAGCTCTGGCTGCTCTTGCAGAGGACCCATGTTTGAATCCCAGCACCCACATGGGGCTGACAACCATCCTTAACTCCAGTTCTAGGGGATCGAACACCCTCTTCTGACCTCCACTAGCATTGTACAACATGGGTGCACTTACATACATGCAGGCAATATACTCATATACATAAAATTAAAAAAAGTAAAAAGTAGAAAGTCAGTGAGTAAAGTCATACAAGCTATTGCAGTGCCCCAGGCTTCAGTGCAAAACTCACCTCTGTCCCCTAAGGAAACCAGAGAACACAAAATGAGGCAAGAATGCTGAGATGTGCCAGGCTGTGAAATTTGTGATCGTGGACACTTTTCTGAACTATTGGCACGAGCAATTCTGCATCCTGCTTTGTATGGAAGCTGGAGGGCTCTGAAGAAGCAGAGATTTGGGGGTATTGAGGGGAAAGTCCAGAGCATTTTCTTCTTTTTGTCCCTGCATCCGAATAGAGATGTTGAAAGAGTAACTGTGATGATTAATGCATTATTTGCAGATTTGTTTTTTGAAAATGTCTACTCAGAGTGATTACTGAGGTGGCACTTGTTATGGTACGCAGCACTTGCATCCACTTGCTTTGGGTAGATTAAAGTGCAAAGACTCCGCCCCACAGGGAATTTGCAGAAGGAGCCAGTGTGCATTATGAGAAAGGTAGTGCTTCAGAGCAGAACAGGGATGTACAGTCAGGTCTGTTGGAAGGTCTATGTGTGACACTAATACTTCCTTTATGATCAGTATAATCATCTTCCCGAAGTTTCAGTTTACTCACCTGTACAGAGGGATAACTGTATCTACATCATAGATTATTTCATAGGTCGAATATGTAAATAGTATCAACTTATTAACACTAGTAGTAGACTTGTAATTATTTGTGATTGATTGCAGCTATTACTCTTGATTTTGACATTAGTTAGTGATGACTGAGTGAAAACAGCTTTACGTAAACCAGAGGTGAATCACTTAGCCAGAGTTAAATACAGGCTGTATATCCCTAACCCCCAAATCCAAAATGCTCTAAACTCCAAAGCTTTTGTGTGTGTGTGTGTGTGTGTGTGTGTGTGTGTGTGTGTGTGTGTGTGTGTGTGTGTGTGTGTGTGTGTGTGTGTGTGTGTGTGTGTGTGTGTGTGTGTGTGTGTGTGTGTGTGTGTGTGTGTGTGTGTATGTATGTATGTATATGTGTTTGTGGGGGGTTGAGGGGTCTGTAGGTGCATGCATGTGGAGGCCAGAGGTGGGGTCTCTTACTCAATCTGGAGCTCTGGTCTAGGCTGGATGGCAGGTGAGCCCCCTGGATCCTCCTGCCACCACCTTTCTAGCTTTGGGGTTGCAGGCACACTGCCACACCTTGTTTTTATGTGCGTGCTGGAGATTAGAATTCAGGTTCTCATGCTTCCATGGCAAGCACTTGACCACCTGAGCCATCTCCCCAGCCCCTTATGAAGCCACAAGTAGAAACTACCACACATGACTTAAGGGGACAAGTCAGTCAAAATGTAAGGACACTGAAAATGTTATGTAAGATTATCTTCAGGCTCTGTGTATAAGGTGTAGATGAGACATTAATGAATTTTGTGTTTGGACTTCAGTCTTAGTTCTAGATAACTCATTGTGTGTATGTATGTATTTAAAGATTGAAAAAATATGAAATCCATAATATATCTGGTCCCAGGCATTTTGGATGAGGGCTATTCAGCTTATAGTGCCCCCAGATAAGCTTTTCATTCCTGACTCCCAGTGGCTGGTTGATAGATGGGGAGTGGTGGTGCTCATGGACACCAGTCACAGAGGGTTAAACGGGCCCTGCAAGCATTCACTTTTGGAAAGTGGCAGCAATGTACAGTATGGCTTTCCTAAGACAGCAAGGGAAACAATTGCCATGCATTCTGCAGAATCATTTTGCCTGTAAACTGCCCTTGAAGATAAACACGAAGGAAGAAGAGTGGGTGCGGTAAGGAGAAATAGATGAGATGGGAGGCAGGGATGGGAGTAGAAGGTGGGAGAGGGGATTTGAATTAATTTGGATTAAATGGGTGGGATTCAAAAGTATTTATTTGGAATTGGTGTGAATGGGGCACACAGGGAGCTGAAAAACAAAGGTGATAATTTATGTGGTGTGGATAAACTAAGAATAATGAAAAAAGTATGAAGGATGGAATCAGATTAAGTGGAAACATATAAAAGAGATGGGCTGGTAAAAGCCTGTGTGCTGATAGAAGGGTTGGAATGAGAAAGCCGCTGACCAAATGTTGAAATGAAGTTTTCAAAATGTGCTGTGGATGGATTCAGGCAAGCTATTCAAGCACAGGATTCACTTTAATTCAATGGAAATATTTCTTATTTTTCAGTTGAAGAGGTATTTTGGGACAGAAAAAAAGATAAGGAAAGGATTCCAGAGAGAGGAGAGAGAGCGGCTTTTTGTTCTCTAGAGTTATATATATGCCCTATCTTTTATATGGTAATATGTTGAGAAGGAGACACAGTTGCAAAATGAAATGAAATAAAATAAGTCTGTGAGCCTCTGTCTTCTCCACATAAAGAAAGGCAGTACATTGTTGGTGACATGGATTTGCTTGCATTGAGAAATTTTTAAAATGTTATTCACTTAATCTTTATATAGATGAGATTTGCTGGGCTGGAAAAGATACACATTTTTTTTTTCCCTTCTGTGGCTGTTTTTTTGAAGGTGCTGAATCCTGAAAACTTTTTGCCCTGGAGGATATTAAGCAATGAGGTGATTTTTTTTTTTTCTTAAGGTAGCAGATGTTCAAGTTGGTAACTTGGGCCCAAATACTGGTTGCCTAAGGAGATGAAGTTAGGGATCAGAAACCCAGAATGGAGGGAAGAAAAAGTAAGGAAGCAAATGGGACAGAGGGATTATGGAAAGGAGCAGGAAGCATATAAAATTAGCATATGGTTTGTTCACTGAGTGCTGGCATGAGCATGGAAATGTCTTTGAGCAACCGAGCCGTCCCTGTCGTCTCCCACTCTGTTGTCTAGTCTTCATAATATTCTTTCTCAATAATTCAGCCACTCTGATTGTAGTTTGCTTCATCCATCTTCCTGCAATCAGCTGAACAATCCTTATGTTTTGATACTAGGGGAAGCCTTCACTTCCAAATGTTTAACAAAATCTCTTTATTATGCTCATTTTCAGCAACACGCAATTTGTTAAAATGTGAGTAGCTTCTATGCAAAAAGAGATTTCTTCTTGATCATTTTTCACAAGAAAGAAAAATCTAAATGGAAATGGTGCATTCTGCCATGTGAGGAGACAGTTCTCTTTTGGAAATTCATATAAAAGAATGTCCACATTTATATTATTAGGCATAAATCATGCAGGCAAAATCAGGTCAAAGGCCAGCAATTAAATCTCGGGTTCTGAGTC